AGAGGCCAATACCCCAGGGACGGGACTGTTGGGGAGCATTGTGGGGACTTTTGATTTTCTTTGTGGGGTACTTTTTTCTGGCATTTCCACATGTGTACACGCTTTTGTAGCCAGAGGGTAGTGTGTAAAAATGGGAGGAGAGATGTCCATAAATACAGACCCAAAAGGAGACCCAAGCGCGGCCCTCTCCTAGCGGGCTCAAGATTTCCACCTGGCTTCCTGCCCAGAGGCGTCCAGGTGGAGCCCACCCACCGCGGAGCCTGCGGCCCGAGCTCCAGCAGTGCGGGGACTCGCACAACACCGGGTCTGGAAAAAGCCCAAGGGCTGCGTTTTGATTTTATTTTTCTGGCTTCAAACCCCGTGGCCCAGAACAGGAGAAGGAAGAAGCAAGGACACAGGGCTCCGCGGCCCCCACGAGACTCACGGCTCCCCACGCAGGTGCGCAGCCAGCACAGGCTGGGCCCCTCCTTGGCGATAGCCCGGCCCAGATCACGTGGCTCCGTAGGGAGCCTCTCGGGCCGAATGAGCATGATGAGGTCAGGGCTCTGAGAGGTGGGAGAAGGGTCAGCGTGCCACGGGGGTCCTACAGAGGGGACCAACTGGTCCACTTTGCCCAGGACTTCCCCGGTTTTAGCACTGAAAGTCCCGTGTCCTTGGACATCCCTCAGTTGCAGGCAAACTGGGGTGGTTGGCCCCCCTGCTTCCACAGCAGACCTGCCTGGTTGGGGGGGTCCCCCATCACTGGGATGGGAGGTGCAGGGTGGCCAGGCAGAGGTCTGGTGAGATGAACATGGTATAAGGGTGAGGGAGCTGGCTGGATGTGGGTTTGGGGACACAAGGCCCCGGGGAGGGCCACGGTGGCCCAAGGGGAGGAGGAGCTGGACTCCCAAGGCCACGGCCAGAGAGGGCAGTGGGTCCTGGCGGGGAGGGTCGGGCCCAGAGAGAGCAGCCGCGGGACAGGCTCCCTACACGCGGGGGATGGACAGCAGGGGCCCAAGTGGGGACAGTCAGTCTGGAGGAAGGGGAGCTCCAAGGCGGGGTGGGGCTGAGCCCTCAGAGCCAGGAGGGCCCCAGGGAGGCAGGCTGCAGGCTGGCACCTCCCCAGGCCCACCCTTCTCATCCTACCTGCGCCCACAGCAGACAGCGGCAGCCAGTGACACAGCTGAGGATCCCTGAAGTAGGGGCTCCACGGGGCCAGTGCCCATTGGCTCGTTTGGAGGCAAAACCCACTTGCCTTCTCCAAAATTTGGAGCAATTGGATGGTCAACAGAGCCAGGGGAAGCCCAGAGAGGCTGAGACGCCCCGGAGGCCCCCAGCTTGCTGGTGGCAGAGTGAGCCTGGAACCCAGAGCTCCCGAGTCCCACGTCCCATTTCCACTTCTGCGGCTGTGTGGATCTGGGGGCCCTGAAAATGGTGGGAAGGGGATGGTGTAGGGGGCAGAACCGTGTCCCCCACATCAAATTCACGCCCACTCAGACCTCAGAATGCAACCTGATTTGGAAATAGGGCCTTTGTAGAGGTAGTTAAGGTAAAGACCTAAATAATATCCACCTGAACTAAGGTGGCCCTAAATCCTAACAGATCTTTCTTGTAGAGACAGAAAGGGAGAGAAGATCATGAACAGATGGAGGCAGAGTCTGCAGTGACGGGGCCACTGGAACTGGCAGGGGCCGGGAAGGATCCTCCCGGGAGCCTTTGGGAGGAGCGGGGCCCTGCTGCCGCTCGGTCTCGGACGTCTGGCCTCCAGGGCTGTGAGTATAAATTTCTGCTGTTTTAAGCCACACAGTGTAGGGTCACGTGTTACGGCAGCCGCAGGAAGCTGGGACCCGTGGGAGAAGGAACCCGGGTGACGCACACACCAGGGCGCTAGACCAGAGCTGCCTTCACCTCTTCCCAAGCGTGTGTGAAAGGAAAGCTCGCTCGGCCAAGCCTGGAGTTCTAGTCCATATGGGGCCAAGTTCCCCCAGAATGAGTTAAGTCGGCATGAAACAACTGTCAAATACTGACCAGTTCATGGGGTTTGACCTAATAGATTTCAATTCCAAAAAAGAAAAAGTGGGAGCTGGGCGCCGTGTCTCACGCCTGTAATCCCAATACTCTGGGAGGCCAAGGCGGGAGAATCACTTGAGGTCAGGGGTTCGAAACCAACATGAGCAAGAGCAAGACCCCGTCTGTACCAAAAATAGAAAAATTAGCCAGACGGGGTGGTGGCGCACACCTGTATGTAGTCCCAGCTACTCGGGAGGCTGAGGCAGGAGGATCGCTTGAGCCTAGGAGTTTGAGGTTGCTGTGAGCTAGGATGATGCCACTGCACTCTAGCCCGGGCAACAGAGCAAGACTCTGTCTCTCAGGACAAAAAAAAAACAAGAGAGAAACTTATTTTCAAGCACACACTAACTAGAGGCGGTTCACAGCGCCTCCCTGCGGAAGTCCCTCAGACCTGCCTTTAACTGAAACGCTAAGATCTGCTATTCTCTTTTCTGTCATTTCCAGTGAGTGCGTCTCAAGTCCCCAGAACCTCCTCCCCCCCGACCCCCAAGCAGAGTAAACGATTCACTCTGCAAGTGCTCTGTCTGGGAAACGCTCTGGGATCATAAATTCCCAGGAGTCTTTGTTTTTGTGTTTGTTTCAATTCTTGCGAGTACGAATTCGAGATCCAACCTGCCCTGACCTTTTCTCTGCCACCTGCAACTGACCCCACCCGGTCCCAAGGCCAAAAGGAGGACACTGCTCCCGGGGACAGAAAAGAGAAAACATCCTCACTCCGGAGACATCCGGGTTTGCATGTGAAACATTTATTTCAGGAAATACACTTTCAACACTTAGTCATTTATACAAAAAGAGACAATTTTCTCGGGAGGCACCGAGCAGAAGGCTGTTGCGGAACAGAGCCTGAGGGAGCTAACGGGTCGCAGATCCGGCACACAGAGGGAAAGCGAAGCCAGCCGGGCGGGATGTTGCCACCCGCCACCCCACGGCCAGGCCCTGGCGCCAGAGATGGACACTTCCTTCCAAATCTTGGTTTTGGCAAAAACACGGCAAGTTGGCAAGTAAACTATCCCGCTGAAGGGTTTGGTGGGGGCCCTTCCTCTCTCAGGTGGGGAGGGAGCGAGATGCTGGACAGTGGCTCCCACACACGTGCACGCACACCCCCAGCCTGCACCTGCCTCCCGCCGCGCCCCTCTGCGCCGCAGGAAGCCAGCCCGGGCCTACAGGCAGGTGCTGCACCTGTGTGCGCTCTCGTCTGACCTCTCCCTCTCCCCACGAGCAAAACAGGATCGGGCAGGGAGGGGCTCTGGCCAGCTGTGCAGCCATGACGGCCCTGCTGGTCCCCTGCTGGGGACAGAGGGTGAGGGGGCCGGCCTCGCTGCCGTGAATCCTCGCTCCGCAGCCTGGCTGAGGACTGTGCACACGGACCCCTCGTCTCTCCTCCTGGGGCTCCGGGGTGCAGGGGCCCAGGCTCACCCGGCCCCCCACCTCCCAGGTCGTGGGCCAGCAAAGCCAGAGCCACGGAGGGGTGAGTGCTGCAGGGGCGGCCTGAGCATTGGGGAACTATCACTCAGTCTGGGGCCAAACCAGACTGGACAGACGGACGGACACGCACACACTTCCCCAGTCACATGGGGCAGGGCAGGCACTTAGGCCGCTCCAACCAGCCCAAGCCACGGCCACATGCCCCCACACCCAACCTTCCTTCCGGCACCTTCCACGGCTTCCTCCCTCAGCTCCTCCTCCAGATTCACTTGCTTAGACCTTCCCAAAAATCAGGGGTGGGGTGGGCGCATCGTTTTTCCTTCCCTTTTGTCCTCAGTCGGGGCCCGGCACGTCCGCAGCCCCTGCAGCCCCGTGGGAGGTAGAGACGCGCGGTGGGACGGTGGGGAGGTGCAGACTCGCCTCCCCCACTCCAACCTGGCCTGTCTGGCTCAAGTGGCTCTCGGACGGCTGAGATAAAGGCACTTTCTGCCCCGGGACGGGCTTACGGGCGGGCGGCTGCCAAGGGGCCAAGCCGTGTCTGCGCAGTCGGCAACTGAGGTTTGTGGGATTCTCTGGCCTCCCCCGGGGAGCAGGGTAGGGGCAGGTGCTCTCTGAGTTATGTGGTCTGGTGATCGCCCACGAAGCTGGGGGGCGTGGGGGGGTCCAGGTCCACCCGGCCGGCTCCATCTGCCCCTGGGCACAGCCCCGACACCCTCTGGGGGCTGTGGCCAAGCAGGATGGAGGAGCCTCCTGATGGGCCCTGCGGGGGCCTGGTCCGCACCGGAGCCCCATCTCTGAGAACTCCACCCGGACCAGGGTCGGCACAGATGGCAGCTGCTCCCCGGGCCCTCAGGAAGCCGGGCCTGAGACACAGGGCCACGTCGATTCGGGGTCCTTGCGCCCCTCCTTCGGCTACCGTCCAGCTGCCCCCAGACCTCAGGGCCGGGGAGGCCGCCTGCAGCCCGAGGGCCGCCCACCCCGCGCCCGCACTCAGCGGGCTAATGACAAACGCACTCCAGAGGACGCACCTTATCTTGTTACATGGCAGCGTGTCAAAGGGGCGGAGAACGATGACAAACGGAGAAAATTATATAAAATAAAATGGGGCAATGGGCAGGCCGGGGGGTGGGGAGGACTCGGGGGCAGGGTCCGGGGGGGCGGGGGAGGCGTCTACATCTCCTGGGCTTCCGGCTCCTTCTCCTCGACGCCGTTGGACATGGCGCTGTTGCCCTCGTTGAGGCGCTTCACGCGGTAGGCCTCGAAGTGGATGCTGCTGGTGATGTCCTTGATGTTCTGCATGTGCGTCCTGGGGGCGGCGCAGGCGGGTCAGCGCGGGGGCCACGGGCAGGCGTGGCGGCTGCCCTGCTCGGCCCGCCCCACCTCGACCGAGCGGCTCCCCCCAGGGCTGGGCACAGGTGACGAGCAAGGGTCAGTCTCTCAGGACACACATGTTCTAACACACGTCTCCCTTTTTGTGTCCCTCCTGCCCCCCAGGAAAGAAAGTCCTGGGCTCAGACTTTCTCTCCTTGGCGGCTCAAGAGGAAAGACATGGGAAGGGCGCTGGGAGGGCCAGGCTCTCTGAGATGGGGGAGGGCGGGGGTCGCTCCTGGAAGGCCCCCTCCCCCTGGCCCCACCCTCTGTGCTGCTCTGGGGCCACCCCGCTCCCTCCCTACTGGGGCTGTCCCCTCCCTGCCTGGGCTCGAAGAACCGAGGAGCCTCGGCCAGGTCAAAGGGGCTGGGGTCACGGGCCACTGGGATCGGAGCTGAGGACGCCCCCGCTGCCCGCCAGAGCCTCAGCAGACACCTGCTGACGAAGGGGCCCAGGCCTCGGTGGGTCAGAGCGCGGCCCTGCCACCCAGGTGACCTCACGTGGGCTAAAAAGGGTTTTCGCCTCTTACTTCATTTCCAAGTGGGTTTTTTTTATAAATTTAGAAAATGGGTTCTGAGGTCTTCCTGAGGACAGGCAGGCAGAGGGCAGGACGCACCTGCTCTGCCCCCCACCCCCCACTGACGTGGGCCCCTCTCAGGCGCCTTCAGGGCCACAGGCTGTCAGCTCCTGCGCCCAGCACTGCCCCAGCCCCGTCTCTCACCTGATGAGCAGGTCCCGCAGGTAGGCGAACTCACAGTGTGTGGTATTTTCCACTGAGGAGAGGAGACAGCAGGGGCTTTAGTGTCCTGGCGGGGAAGCCCTTCCCTGGTCCCCACCCAGCCCTCCCGCCCAGTAATGCTGGTGCTGAGAGTGGCTTCCAGGACAGCCCTTTGGGAGGGGATGGGGGAGGGAGGGGAGTCGCCGCCCTGCAGGTGAGAACTGGGGTGGTTGCACAGACCCAGCTCCTGCTCCCCAGAAGGTTCCAGGCTAGTAGGGAGGTGGCACAGTGACCAAGCCGAGAGTGTGGAAGAGCCACAGCGAAGAAAGTGGGGCCCCCGCACCACCGGGGTGACCAGGGAGGGCTCCCGGGAAGAGCAGGATGTCCCAGCAGAGCCCTGAAGAGAGGCAGGGGCTGGGACTGGGGCAGAGATTTTGAAGAAACCTGTGGCCCCTGGCTGTCGTCCCACACGGCTCGCCCACCACACCTGTGCTCAGGCACACGCACAGGGGACACGCGTGCACAGAGGCCACGCACCCCGGGCTGCGTTCGCGTCAAGCTCAAGAGCCAGCAACCAAACACCGCACTGCTCAGGGACAGGCGCATGTGGCACACACACAACACCCAAGGGTGTGCCGGGCACAAGCTCAGGACAGCGGTCACTTCCAGGGGACACATGAAGACAGGGTGGGGGGTCCACAAGCACCATAGGCGCCCCCAAAGCACGCTGGTGGCCATTGCAGAGGGTCATGTCATTGCTGTGCTTTGTAACTTATGGCCACACAGTGCCGCGTCTGCATAATTATCATGTAACGGGATCTTCTAGTGAGGGGCGGAGAAGGCGAACAGGTCACTGTCAGGAGCTATTCCTGCCAGGTGCTCTTCGCGCACGACTGATCAATTCAGTCCCCACCGCACACGCCCTGCAAGGTACCCACTACGATCCCGCTTTTGTCGTCTTATGAAAGTGGGGCTTAGAGGACGCAGGAAGCGTCTGTCCAGGCTCCAGAGCTCTGAGGCCGGAGCAGGACTCGGAACTCACACACCTGGCTCCCGGCTGTCCCATCGCAGAGCCATGTGACTCTTCTCAGAGTTAAAAGGTCAGGTTTTCGCTCAATAAGGCGGCAGGCAGGGCCTGGCCGGGCAAAGCCCACCTGGCTCCATCCTGCCCGGCCCTCGAGGGCTCTCAGTTCTGTGCCATCCGCCTCCTGCCTGGCCCTGGGCCTCCCCCACATGCTGACCCCGCATGGCTGTGTCCACACCAGACCCTGCTGCCGGCTGACCCACATTCTCATCTAGCTTTGCAAGGTGGCGAGGGCTGGCAGGAAAAACCGAGCTCTCGCAGGTCACGGTTTGACGGTGTGATCTCTGCATCCTGGCCTGGGCAAGTTATTTGGGTCTCTCTGACCCTCGGTTTCCTCATCTGCAAAATGGGGATGATGATGTCATTCACCCCTCAGGGACAGGACGAGGTGAGTTCGTGGTGTGGTTTCTACCTCCCGCCTCCCTCCTGGCAAACTGTAGGTGGTCTCCAAGGATGGGAGAGGTCCCGGGAGACGGTGCACACCATGTGGGAGCCAGGAACAAGGAAAAGGCGCTTCACAGCCACACCTGCCAGGTGAGCCTAGTGGCCGCTTCTCGGGTCAAGTTTCAACTCACGAGGTCCCTGGTCTAAAAGCCCATCGGTGCTCTGGGGAAGTCTCCAGGGTCCTCACGGGGTGTGTGAACCGTCCTTACAGCTCCCTGGGGCTGCTTCTGCTAACGTGAGCTGCTGGTGCCGTCGGAGGGCAGGGTCCCCTCCCGGCTGCTCTTTCCCGACAGCGTCCCTTACTGGGCTGGCCACCAGGGGGCAGAAGAGGCCTGCCAATCTCCCAGCTGCCCCGCCCCGCCCCCGCAGGCCTTGGAAACGTGCTTTTCTTAAAAAGGTTCCTCAACAGCCAGATTTCTTTGGGCAGAGGAAGAGAGGAACTGGAAGAGGAGGGGCCGAGGGGAGCCGGCCCAGGGAAGAGCCTGACAGTGCAGACAGACGCTGGAAAACACCAGGCTGCACCCAACCCGCCAGCTCCCACGTGGTGGTCCCGGCAGGGGCGCGGCAGGGAGGAGGGCAGACCCCCAGAGAGAAAGGCCCACATGTTCTCCACGACCTAACTCCAGGGTGTCCACTGCAGGGCTCTGGCACCCTCGGCAGCTTTGCTGCCCGGCTGCATCTCCTCCCCGCAAGGAGGGTGGAGGGGGACCCTCCAGGGAGCCCAAGGATGCAATGGGCTCAGTGAGTGCTTCCTGCCTGGAAGCTGTCACTGTAACTTTTTTTTTTGAGACAGGGTCTCGCTCTGTCACCCGGAAGAGTGCAGTGGCATCATTATGTCTCATGGCAGCCTCAAACTTCTGTGCTCTAGCGATGCTCCTGCCTCCGTCTCCTGAGTAGCTGGGACTACAGGCGTGTACCAGCACGCCTGGCTAATTTTTCTATTTTTTGTAGAGACGGGGTCTCGCTCTTGCTCAGGCTGGTTTCGAAATCCTGAGCTCAAACAATCCACCCGCCTCAGCCTCCCAGAGAGCTAGGATTACAGGCGTGAGCCACCGCGCCCAGCCCATAACCAGTTTCTTAAAGCAATCGCTCCCCCAAAGCTCCAGGGGTCCGTGGACATCCTCCCAACTTACTAGAGGCTTGGCGCACAGACCCGCCACTCTGGACGGTGCGGACGGAGGCCTGGAGGGTTGAGAGACTCACCCCAAACTCACAGAGCCACGACTTTCTGCTCCCTTCCCCACTGGGCTTTCCAGCCAAGTCGCTCTCAAGGAACAAAGTGGCCTCCCCTCCTACGTTCCACTCCCCTTTTCCCTGCGTTCTAACGAGGAGGAAAGGAACAGAGAGGAAGAGTACAAGAACGCCCAGCCCAGGGTGTTAGCACCGTGGTGGGTTAAATTGTGCCCCGGAAAAGACACGTCTGAGCCCCAGCCCTGGTCCCCACGACTGTGAGCTTGCTGGAAGGTCTTAATTAAGGATCTCCAGATGGGATCATCCACCTAGGGTGGCCCTAAGTCCAATGACGGTGTCCTCATAAGAAGAGGACACAGACACACACAAGGTCAAAGGCCCTGTGGCAACGGGACAGAGATCAGAGCAACGTGTCTATAGCCAAGGGATACCAAGGGCTGCCAGGAGCCACCAGGAGGAGACAGGCCGGGGACGATTCTCCCCCAGGGCCTCCAGAGGAAACAGCCTGCCACTGACACCTCGATTTCAGACTTCTGGCCGCTAGAACCAAGAGAGCAAACGCCCGCTGCTTGAGGTCCCCAGTTGTGCTCATTTGTTACAGCAGCCACAGGGCACTATGGCGTGGGGGTCCTGGGAACTCCTGCAAGGGGGCAGGTCCGAGGGTCTGTCTGGTTCTCAGAGCTGGACAGAGCTACAGCCGAGCCCTTTTCTAGGACCAGAGAGGTTGAGCGATTTGTCCGGGGTCACACAGCTGCCTGAGAACAGCCGGCCCCCACACCCAGAACCTGGCGGCCCTCATCCTGGCGCCCGCCTCCCTGGGTATCTTCCTGCCCCATGGGAGATTGGGATGGGGCCCCTGGACAGGCACGCACCCCCTCCCACAGGGCAGGGCAATGCAAGAGCTGAGGTTTCCAGAGCTCCCAGCATCGGGCCGGCTCGGCAGTACCTTCGATGGTGCCCCACTTGGTCTTCCTCCCCAGGATCCGCTTGCCGTTGACCTGGTACTCGTGGTCACTGCCCACCACAGCAAACGGGATCATCTCCTGGGGAAGGGCGGTGGCATTGGCCACGTGTGTGCAAAGGCCCGTCCCTCCCCTGGGCAGAGCTGCTCTGAGCCCCTGGCCAGAGACTTCGGCCTGAGAGGGCCGGTGTGGACCCCTGGGCCCCGTCCCCTCCTGGCCCAGAGGATACATCCTCAGGGCTCAAGGCCATCCCCCCAAAGCCCCTAGACAGGGCGGGAACCCCCACCCCGCCACGCCCTCCAGCAGGAATTGAGGGTCCCGGGAGCAGGTCCTGGCGGATTCACTCACCCGGAACTTCTCGTTCACCATCCGGTCCTCGGAGTCCTCGTCAAACTCCTTCTGGGGGTACACGTCGATGCCGTTGGACAGCAGGTCCGCGGTGATCTGTGGATGGGGAGAGATGTGGCACGTCCCCGAGGCAAGCTCCGCCCACCCACCGGAGTCTGCCCAACACGTGACCTCCACACCACGAGCTGCCCGAGGATGGGGTCAGGGGAGGGCTCTGGGGGCTGTGACCCTGGTGGTCCCCCATTCTCGTGCCTCCCGAGGGGAGGGGTCAGCTGCAGACCCGCCTCCGTGAGCAACGCCGCAGGTCCTGAGGGGCTCCCGTCCTCCTCTCCAGCTCCTCACACCCCCGAGGAAATAACTCAGGGCGGCCGAGTCCTCGGCCCCGAATCCCTACCTAGAAACCCCCTGGGCGCAGCCCCCAACCCTCCTGCAGCCCAGCGCGCACCTGCCTGTGTAAACCGCCCGCACCCTGACACGGCCCAGCAAGGTGCTGTTCGACAGGCGCGCCCGGTGACAGCGGCACGTCTGCCCACGCACAGAGCTGAGCCTCCTAGGGCTTCTCGCTCCCGTCCCTGCAGCAGATGCACACACTGCGCAGTGGACAGTCCTTCCCTCGGCATGCTGGGAAAATCCCTGGCGCCCGGCCCCGGGGTGGGGGCTGAGCTCGGGAGGTAGCTCAGAGGGCCTCTGCCGGAGCCCAGGCACCTCAGGGCTTAAAAGTTCCCCAGGCAGTTCTGACGAGCCACCTGCTAGGAAGAAGCGACCCAGGGCTCGCCCTCCTGCTCGGACACCCCTCCCCACCCGCTGGCCGTGGCCTCGCACTGTGGCAGAGGAGAAGCAGCCACTCGTCCCCTGCAGAGACTGTCTCTTTGGGATTCTCTTGCTCTAATAAGAACCAGGCAGGTTGTATCTGACAGCCCCTCTGCAGCCTGGAAGGGAGGGTCGCCGTCCGCCTGGTCTGTGTCTTCTCCAAACCCCAGACCTTGTATCTCGGGGGCTGTGGGAGAACAGACCTCACGGGAAGCTGCTGTTGAGAGACGAGGGGAGCTGGGGCCTCCCGGGGACCACCCCCCAGCATCCACCGGCCTGTGAAGAGTGACAGGCAGTGCCCCTGGGGCTGGGGTGGCCCTGCCAGGCCTGCGGCTTGTCCAGGCTGCCCCGAGACCTACCCGCTGCTTGAAGTAGACCCTCTCCTCCAGGGTCAGCGTGTCGGCCTTGGCGATGACAGGGACGATGTTGACCACCTTGCTCAGGCGCTTCATGAACTCAATGTCCAGGGGCCTGAGCCTGAAACAGACGACGTGAATGACCCTCGGCTCGGGGGAGGGAAACGGGGAAACAAGGGAGGGTCCCCACCTCCAGCGCCGGGGACGTGGCTCTCGGGTGGCAGCTCAGGGCTCACAAGGGGGCCCGTGCTGGCGAGGCCCTGGGCTGAGCCCAGCCCAGCCGTGCGTGTGGCGCAGAGGGAAGGAACAGGCGGCCCCGACACGGGCAGCACCCCTGGGCAGGGCAGGACGGCTGCGGGGGGCCGACTCCCAGCACACTTAGCCAC